TATTGCTTTAAAACATTCACATTCTACTCTTAGAAAGATTCACCTGTACCCCTCTTTTAAATTTTTAAATGTAATTTTTTACTTAGCCAGGTATGATGGCACACACCTGTAGCCCCAGGTCCTCTGGAGGCTAAGCCAGGAGGATCACTTGAGCCCCGGAATTTGAGGTTGCTGTGAGCTATGATAATGTCACTGTACTCTAGCCTATGTAACAGAGTGAAACCTGTTTCTAAATAAATAAATAGACAAAAGAATGTTACTAGTTTTTTTCAAGCATTTGCTAACTTATTTGCCTATCTATAATTGTAGTTATCTCTTGAATTAGTTGGTTTTATTCCGTGCAGCCTTAATTTCCTTAGCCTAAGGGAGAATCTGCTTTGCTGATGGTAAGTGCAAGTTCTGATTTACAGGAGCCTTATTTCAGTGGCTAAAGTCGGGAGGGTAGGACATCTGGCTAGAGAGCTTTTATATAGGATAAAAAAAAGGATAGGATAGTGTGTCTTCTAGATACAAAGATGCCTTCTCTAGTGTTTACCATAAGTTATTTCCGAGCACTGGTCTGATTTCCTTGTCTCAGTATTTATAATGGACTCCCCTGTATCATAACTTCTAGACATCTATCCTCATGACTTTAGTCTAAGAACAACTATTAATGACCTTTTATTTCCTGATTCAGCAATTTCTGAGCCTTGCTGCCTCTGACATTAGAATCGATAAGAGGTTCTGCTGGGAAAATACACTTTTTTTTTGTCAGAGACAGAGTCTCATTTTGTCGTCCTGGGTAGAGTGCCATGGAGCCACAGCTCACAGCAACCTCTGGCTCTTGGGCTTAGGTGATTCTCTTGCCTCAGCCTCCCAAGTAGCTGGGACTATAGGTGCCCGCTACAAACGCCCTGCTATTTTTTATTGCAGTTTGGCCAGGGCCAGGTTTGAACCCGCCACCCTCGGTGTATGAGGTTGGCACCCTCCTCACTGAGCCACAGGTGCTGCCTGAAAATTTGCTGTTTTAACAGTCTTTTTTCCTTGGATTTTTCTCTGAGCCTATTTTTAATAATTCATAAAGTTTTTATAGTTTTGATCTGCTTATGACACCATTTCTGGCTTTTCAAAAGACTTATATTTAGAGTTGCTTTGTCTTTTCAATTTGGAGATGAAAAAGAGTCAAGTAAACTGGCTCGGCGCCTGTGGCTCAAGTGGCTAAGGCGCCAGCCACATACACCTAAGGTGGCAGGTTCAAATCCAGCCCGGACCCGCCAAACAACAATAATGGTTGCAACCAAAAAAATAGCCAGGCGTTGTGGCGGGTGCCTGTAGTCCCAGCTACTTGGGAGGCTGAGGCAAGAGACTCGCTTGAGCCCAGGAGTTGGAGGTTGCTGTGAGCTGTGATGCGATGGCACTCTACCCAGGGAGACAGCTTGAGGCTCTGTCTCAAAAAAAAAAAAAAAAAAAAGAGTCAAGTAAACTGTCTTAAAAGGAAATCTAAGGTCATTGTTGACTCCTGTCATGGCTACAAAGGATGACTTGCCAAATACTACTGATTCTGCCTTTGTAATAATTCCTCTGCCTCTCCTTACTTGCTATTTCTGCACCCACATAGGCCCAGATACTCATTTAATGGCCACCTGATTTGTCATCTTGGTGATACTTTCTTCCCTCTTTGGTATGTGCTGTATATACTAGCAATTCAGTCTTCCCGTCATTCATCTTTGAAAAATGATAACTGATAATACAGGGTGTTCATAAAGTTCGTTTGCAATTTAAAACGACCAACTATTTTAAATTGCACATGAACTTTATGAATGCCCTGTATTTTAGATAATGTTCCAGTCTCTAAACCTGATTTTGAAAGCTTTCTACCATTTGTTATACCCAGTTTTTCTTTCTTCACTCTACCAATCCTCAGCGTAATCTGTCTAGTTTAGTGATGTTGGCCTTTGATGAATCCATTCATCAATCCAGTGACATTTTTCTACTTAGAAATGCTTTAGTACTTTATTTGTGCTTCTCTAAACACCCCCTTCCTAGTCACTTTCAATTGTATAAAACAGGTTCATGTAGTATTTTGTCTCCTGTCAGGGCCCAGGACTGGCCAGGTCTTGGGCCTGGCTTAACTACCTTGCTCAGGAACAATTTCTCTTAGGTGCCTGAGGGCTATCGACTTTAGCTCAGGGGGAGGGGAGGGAGAGAGAGAGAGAAAGTAAGGCAGTCTTCTTAGAAAGATAGATCTTAGTCTTTAGCAGAGCTTAGTGATTTTCAGCAGAGAGACACTGTGCTGGCATTAGGAGAGGAAACAGAGTCAGAGTAAGTGGGTCCGTGATAGAATATGCACATGCTCTTGACTGCCTTCTCCTTCAGCCTAATACCGTGTTTCCCCAAAAATAAGACACTGTTTTTTTCTCAAGAAGACAACACTAGGGCTCATTTTCAGGGGATGTCTTATTTTTATTAAATATAATACAACAATCTATATTCATTCAAATATAGTTAAGTCATCTTCTTCTGGAACCTGACAGGGGGAGCTGACCTTGTTGGTGGGGCTGGCGCTAGTGATGCGTGAACTCCTTTCCCCTAGCCATTCACACGTGCGCAAAAGGATGCCTGCAACCACAGTTACCACATGCACACCTGCGCAAGTGCTAACGGCTCAGAGAAAGGAGCTGTGGCAGATAAAAGGTATTCCAGTCTTCCTTAATGCCCAGCCTGAAATGCATGGCATGGCTATGCAGCGCATCTGCATAGCCACGCCTATCACTAGGTCTTATTATCAGGGTAGGGCTTATACTTAAAAAATGCATAGAAATCCTGCTAGGGCTTATTTTTTGGGTAGGTCTTATTTTCAGGCAAACACAGTATAAGGCTGATCTCTTGCTTCTCAACACCATAGGTGTAAAGACTGCCAATTCACCAGTGCTCTCATCTTGTGAGCTCTCATGCTTGTTAGGAGAGCTAAATCCTTCTCCATGCCCTTTTCACCAAGGGATTCCATTATTGAGCTATACAGGTATTTCTTATAACTCTCACTCCTCCTAGCCGTAGACTATATGGGCTGCTACAGTCTCCCTTATTAGGCTACACTTTTCTTTAGGCCATCATCTGTATCTTAATTTTTTTTAGATCCTCCACAGAAGGTAGTTTGATTTCCTCCACAGTGATTTGATTTCGTGAGTCTAGTCCTCCTGGTAAAGCACTTGCTTAACCAGTGATATCGCACTAAACATTGCCAAGAGTTTTGGGCTGGTTCTAGTGGAAATTATATCCCAAAATTGGGTTTCTGCTTTATAAATTAAGTATAAATAGGAAAAGTTGGTGAAGATAGATTCAAATAAACAGATACTACTTTAGTAGATATATTGAAGTTACTAATACCATAATCATGAAACATTTAGTAAAACGAGAAGAAAATTTGACTTAATAAATGTTTATGTTATAAAATTATACTGATATTTACCTTTATTTTTATGATCAAATTTACTTCAAGATAAGTAACTCTTGCTAAGATGATATTTGAAATTAGTAGGACTAATTGCTAGTAATTAGATGGAATGCTTTGTTGCCCTCAGTGTGAATGAATGCACTATAGTCCTTGAGTTAGCAAGTATATATATATACACTCTCATTTTTGCACACAAGCATTACAGAAAGTTATCAGTTAATCAGTTACACAGAACTGGTGCAGCGTGAGATGTAGTAATCACTACTTAGTAAAAGATTAGTTTTGCACAATACCATTAACCCTGAATGACACTGTGGCTTAGAATTAGAAATCCTAATTTCTTTGTAAATGTTAACATATCTTTTTTGAAAAGCCTGACATAGATTTTGGTATAACTATATTAAGTGCCACCTTTTTTGTATTTTCAGTGAATGAAAAGAATACTCTACAGGAAGAAAATAAAAAGCTTTCTGAGCAATTACAGCAAAAAATTGAGTAAGTATTCTTACAAAATTATAATACAAAATTGAGTATTTTCCCCAGCTTTTCTTTATTTATTTTACTTAACTGTACAAAATATTGAAGCTGTCTTAAGAGTTGCACATTTCCTGGGAGGCTGAGATAGGCAGATTGCCTGAGCTCAGGAGTTTAAGACTAGCCTGAGCAAGAGTGAGGCCCCATCTCTACTAAAAATAGAAAAACTAGCCAGGCTTAGTGGTGCACATCTGTAGTCCTAGCTACTCAGGAGGCTGAGGCAAGAGGATTGCTCAAGCTCAGGAGTTTGTGGTTGCTCTAAGTTTTAACGCCACTGCATTGTACCAAGGGTGACAGAGTGAGACTCTGTCTTAAAAAAAAAAAAAAAAAGAGTTGACCATTTCATTTTAAAAATTGATGAAGTATTCTGGAATAAAAAATATAAAGAAAATCACTATATTTTTGCTTCTCTTTTGGGAGTATATATGTATATGTAAAGAGTGTGTATGCATCTCTTAGGTTAGTGAGTATATAAAGTATCAACATTGTATTTAAAGAACTTTGATTTTTATAATGATATATCATAAATAATAAATTATAAAATTTCTTATATTTTAAATAAAAAGGAGTTTTGTTACCTCTCTTATAACCTTGTCCTTGAAGCATCATAAAAGTATTTCCTCTGATATAATACTAAAGCCTATAGACCTTTTTCCTTTCTCTGTTCCTCTCCCATTCTTCCCATCCCACCCCCATTTATTTTAAGGAATAAAGATAGTAACTTTTTCCTTTTGTGTGCCATTTCTTCTTATGTAAGTTTTATGGTTATTATTTCTAATCTCACTGTGAGTGTGCAAATAGTTTTATTGTCCCTTATTTTACAGTTAGAGAAACCAAGGCTCACAAAGTCAAATAACTTGCCTATTGTCTCACACATAGTAATAAGACCATCACTCAGAACCATATCTTTTGATTTAAAAGCCTTTGTTCTTTCCATTATGCAACACTGTCTAACAAAAAGGATATTTTTCTGGATATGGTTTGACTAGTACAGAGCAGAAATTTGGCCAGCTCTTAGCCACCATTTATATGAAACTTAGGTAGTGTTTTTTAAAACTTCAGATTCAGGATAGTCCTAATGGTGTATAGGAGTTCCTAAAGATCCTCTTCTACTTGAGTAGACGTCTATAAAACCTTTTGTAAACTATGTAGATATAACATGTTATTTTGGCTTAAAATAGTTGTCTGGGGATAAGCAGTCTCACAGGTGAAATTAACATGCTTATCTCTCTACTTTTAGGATAATGGATATCCTGTAGAATTCTGATATTTCTCCCAAGTGATCAGTCTACTGAATACTGATAGCCAAAAGGAATTTTGAGGAGAGATAATAGATGAGGAAAGCAGGCTATGGGATCAGACTGAGATTAGAAAACGTACATGAATATGTCAACACTTCCTAATTTTGCTCATGCTCTATAATGAAGAGAAGCTAAGACATAGGTCTACAATTTTTCGATATATAATTCCAAAACAAAAATAGTTTTATTTGAAATGTTTACCACCTGACCTTACTGTACCTGACTATAAATTCACTTAAAGTCTTTACTTATCCCACTTCATGGGAGTATTCTTATATTCACTATGAAAATATCAGTGTGTTTGATTACAGGATGATGCCTCAGACCCCACTGGAGGTGTTATGTAATTACCTATTTATGCTCTGTGTTACCCTTTTTTTTTTTGAGACAGAGCCTCAAGCTGTCCCTCTGGGTAGAGTGCCGTGGCTTCCCTGCTCACAGCAACCTCCAACTCCTGGGCTCAAGCGAGTCTCCTGCCTCAGCCTCCTAAGTAGCTGGGACCACAGGTGCCCGCCACAACGCCCGGCTGTTTTTTTTTTGGTTGTAGCCATTATTGTTGTTTGGTGGGTCCGGGCTGGATTCAAACCCGCCACCTTAGGTGTATGTGGTCGGCGTCTTAGCCACTTGAGCCACAGGCGCTGAGCCACTTTTTTTTTTTTTTTAAGAAAAAACCTGAACTGAATCCCATCTGGTTCAAGGATTTTATTTTATTTTATTTTTTTAAGTAAATTTATTTCAATTTGTTCTGAGGATTTTAAACAAGTGATGTTGACCTTCATTGATTTATTATATGAAATGGTTTAGCACATGTACCTTATGATTTTGGGGGGGTTTGGGACAGAGTCTCACTATGTCACTCTTGGTAGAGTGCCATGGTGTCACAACTTATGGCAACCTCAAACTCTTGGGCTTAAGCAATTCTCTTCCCTCAGCCTCCTAGTTGGGACTACCAGTGCCTGCCACAGTGCCCAGCTATTTTTTTGTTGTAGTTGTCATTGTTTAGCAAGCCGGGGCCAGGTTCAAACCCGACAGCTCCCCTGGTGTATGTGGCCGGCGCACTAACCACTAAGCTACAGGTGCCAAGCCTAGCTTCTGGTATTTTGAACACATCAGCTTTGATAGTTACAAATACCAAAGACAGATAAGATACTGGGTGAGTACAAGTTAATACAGAATTAGATAGGTAATTGCCTCAAAAACCAAGGTGTATTAAAAGTATGTTGAAACTGTGTTATGTCATCTGCTTGATAGAAATATGAATTCTAATTAGTTTAGATAGAATTTATTTTTAGTATTCTCATTGATATTTTAGAAATGAGGTAAAGGCTAAAAATACGAAACTACAATAAAAACTAATCATACAGATGAGCTCAGGGCTTGTATGTTTCATTTAGGACATGCTTAATCAGAATATGTAGAAGGTAACCTATTTTGTCTTTCAGTTCTCTTCTTAAATTTAAGATAGTAGGTGCACATGAACCAGCCTCTTTTGTAGCTTGCTCTCCTCAAATTTCCCTTTGCTTGGTAGTTAAAAAAAAAATAGCAAGTAACATCTTGTAAAGGCAGCCTAATTTCCCCCAGCTACCTCAACCACCAGAAAGTTATGCTTTAAGTGCCTGAAATTCCCCTGAACTTTAGAAAAAATGTTATTTGACTTACATTACTGCTTGTTAAATATAGTGATTCTGACTTCTGAGATAGTTTTAATGTTACAGATACCTTATATGGTAGAATGGTTATTAGTGACACTGGAGTTATTGAGTAAAAATATGCCATTATAAAGTTTTATTTACATATATTATATAAGTGTATATGCTGTATATAAATATGTATTAATGTGTGTGTAATTTCTGTATATAAATATGTTAATATTTACATATTATATACATTAATAAATATATGAATATGTATTTATATATTTATATATAAATAATAACATATTTATATATATTAAGTCTGCAAACCACACAAAGCAAGTATTTAAATAAGCTAGGTATTACCTCTCTCTCTTTGTTTTGGGAAATAGATGTGATGGGTCAGTGAAAGTGGGTGTCTATACACTTAAGATTTCAAAAGACTATAGGGTTCATTTCCTTCACTCTCTCTTCTAAATTGACTTCTTTGTGCAACTTGTTTAACAAATAGTCATTGTCTGGACTCTAGTACAAGTTCACTGTTTTCCAAGCCTATTTAATTTTTGAGATAAAATTATTATCAAGTTCTAAGTTTGTATAAAAATCACCTTGCTTACAAATTATATTTGTTGATTCAGATTTTGTCTTCTGGGACCTTCTGGAACATATCTGCCACCTGTTCTCCCTGACTACTTTTTTTGTTTGTTTGTTCATTTGTTTGTTTGTTTGTTTGTTTTTTGAGACAGAGTCTTAAGCTGTTGCCCTGGGTAGAGTGCCATGGCGTCATAGCTCACAGCAACCTCCAACTCTTGGACTCAAGCGATTCTCTTGCCTCAGTTTCTTATTTCTATTTTTAGTAGAGACGAGGTCTCCCTTTCGCTCAGGCTAGTCTCAAACTCATAAGCTCAAGTGATCTGCCTGCCTCGACCTCCTAGAATGTTACAGTTACAGGCATGAGCCACCACACCTGACCCTTGACTATGTTTTTGATACATGGGGACAGCTGACACATAGCTCTCTCAAGTTTTGTCTTCTCTGGGGTAGATATCCTCTGCTCACTATTACTCATGTGGCATTACTTCAAGACTCTTCAAAGGGCCATTTCTCTTTAGTGTTTCAGTGTATCAGTATCTTAATTAAGAACTTAGTATTCTAGGCATAGCCTGATCAATAGACCAATACTGCTCCCTGTTCCTGTATCTTTTTATATATATAAATACGGCCTAAAATACATGCCACTGGTGGTTCTTTATGAGGTTTTCAGTTAACTAGAACCTTAAAGCCAATGTCTTCTCTATCATCTAGTTGTAAATTTGTTGTTTTAGATATAAATATAGGACTTCAGAGTCATGACTTCATAGTAGATTATTGAGGGAAACCTTGTGTCATTTAACCTAATCTCTCATTTTAAGGTAATAGCACTATTGATTAAATATAGTCTTGCACCTGATAACAGTGTTTCAGCCAACAGTGGACTGAATATATGAAGGTGGTCCCATAAAATTATAATAAAGCATTTTTACTGTACCTTTTCTCTGTATAGATATGTGTAGATACACAAATACTTACCCTCATATACAGTTACCTGCAGTATTCAGTACAGTAACATGCTGTATAGGTTTATATCCTAGGAGCAATAGACTATACCACGTAGCCTAGGTGTGCAGTAGGTTATACCATCTAAGTTTGTGTAAGTATGTATCTGTACTGTTCCCATGATGACATAATCACCTAACATTTTCAGAGCAAACATATTCCCATCGTTAAGCAATACATGATTACTTATTTGGGGGTGGGAGGGCACTGGGTTACATCTTTGCATTTATTTTTTCTTTTCCACAATTTCCCTGCAAAAAGAAGTGTAATACCACACCTATTTTGTAGATGAGGAAACTGAGGCACAGAAAGGTAAATAATGTGACTGGTAATTGTCAAACCCAGGATTTGAATCCAGGTCTAACTCAGTTCAGAGTTTGTGTACTCTTTCTATAGTCATGTACTAAAATATCCTCAGAAGGTTACCTATATGGTATCACTCCATAGGTGGCAGAGCCTGGGTTCTCTCATTTGAGTTAGTTCATTATTAAGAGTTATAGCTAGTGTTTCTTCTTGTTCTGTTTCATTTTGTTAGTTTTTGCCCATTATTGTAACCTTAGTGTAGGGGAGGTTTTCTGTATGCTGATTTTTTCTCTGCTATATATTAGATTAGCTTATGTCTTCCACAAATTTGATGAATGTCTACCAGTGCCTGGCATCAAGATCATTAATAAAATGTTGAACAAAACCTCCCTGAGAATAGGAGCCCTGGGGCATACCACTGCAGATTTCCTTCATTAATAATAATTTGTGTCAGAGGCAGCACCTATGGCTCAGTGAGTAGGGTGCAGGCCCCATATACCAAGGGTGGCAAGTTTGAACATGGCCCCAGCCAAACCGCAACAGAAAAAAATCCAGGCATTGTGGTGGGTGCCTGTAGTCCCAGCTACTCGAGAGGTTGAGGCAAGGGAACTGCCTAAGCCCAAGAGCTAGAGGTTGTTGTGAGCTGTGATGCCACAGCACTCTACCAAGGGTGACAAGGAATCTGCCTTTATTGATATAAAGTTTGTATTTCTTCCATTTTTTATGAGAAGATACTGAGAAAATCATTATTAGATGCCTTTCTGAGAGCCAGATATACCATAAGGCATTCCTCAGAACAACTGGTCTAATGGCCCTACTTTTAAAAATTAGTCTTTTGAAAATTAGTCATATTAGAATTATTTACATTATAGACTTACACTGGTTATAAGGAGCTAGTGTATCAGACTACTAGTTTGTATTTTAGGGAATCCTCTTCTCAGCGGTCATGACCCACAGGAACTGTATTAAAGAGTCGTGGCATTAGAAAGATTGAGAACCACAAATTTAGATGAACTTGATGGTTATGATATTGCTTCATTAAATCTAAAGTGTATTTTAATTGGAAATACAAGTTCTTTAGACTAGAGAAGGGAAAAGCTGAATATTAAAAACAGAGATTCCTTATGAAGGGAAACCCTATATTCCAACAGGTGAGTAGGGAGGCAACTAAAACCATTTTGACAGGAATTTAAAGGGGGTGGGGGTCCACAAATAACTAAAAAAAATTTTCCCAGGCCCTCAGAAGGAAAAGTGAAAGAAGGATCACAAGTGTGCATAATTAATTTAACCAACAGCTGTGGCATGATCCCTAACTTTTCTGAGAAAATCAGATTGAAACAGTCGGTTTTTTTATTTGTTTTTTCAAACAGAGTCTCACTATGTCACCCTTGGTAAAGTGCTGTGTCATCATAGCTCACACCTCAAACTCTCGGGCTTAAATGAGTCTCTTGCCTCAGCCTCCCAAGTAGCTGGGACTACAGGCTCCTGCCACAATGCCGAGCTATATTTTGTTGCAGCTGTCATTGTTGTCTAGCTGGCCCAGGCCAGGTTCAAACCTGTTACCATCCATGTATGTGGCTAGCCCTGTAACCACTATGCTACAGGCGCCAAGCCAAGATAGTATTTTAAAGAACAAAATTGGTTGATGCGTGAAAGTTGTTTTGGTTTGTTTTCCCTTCTGTTATGTGACAAAAGAGGACAAAGCCAGCACTAAGTTTGGGCACCTCAAAGCTAGTTTTGTGGTGGGGTTTTGTTGTTTTTCCTTTTTGTGATTCCTGCTAATTCCACATTGACTCTGCCAGGAAATCTATTTCTTTTCATGACTCATTCAAGTTTCAGATTAAATTTTTGTGACTAATAGGCAAAGCAAGCTGTGACGTGGTTAAAGCAAGGTCAGATAGATTTCACACTCCATTAATTTATAAGGCCTTCTCATGTGACTTTCTCCAGTTTTCTGGAATAAGAATAGGATTACAGGAAAAGATGAAGAATTAGATATTAGACCTATTGCACAGAATATTGACTAACAACAAATAATTATGTATTTCAAAATTGCTCAAAGAATAGATTTTAAATGTTTTTACCACAAAAAAAGGATAAGCATGTGAAGTGGTGGATATGTTAATTAACTTGATATAATCATTCTACAGTGTATACACATATTGGAAGATCATGTTATATCTTCATAAATATGTATAATTACTATGTGACAATTAAAAATAAAATTTAAAAAATATGTATTTGCTTTAAAGATTGTTTCTTAGTGTAAAATATAAGATTATAACCCACAAGTAATATTGATATTATTCTGGAAATTAAAGTATGAGTTTTTGTTAGGAAAAATCAATCTCTGTCTTACAATTAATGTTCTTTTTTTTTTTGAGACGGAGTCTCAAGCTATCCCCCTGGGTAGAGTACCATGGCATCACGCTCACAGCAACCTCCAACTCCTGGGCTCAAGCGAGTCTCCTGCCTCTGCCTCCCAAGTAGCTGGGACCACAGGTGCCCGCCACAACGCCCGGCCATTTTTTGGTTGCAGCCATCATTGTTGTTTGGCAGGCCCGGGCTGGGGATTCGAACCCACCACCTTAGGTGTATGTGGCTGGCGCCTTAGCCGCTTGAGCCACAGGCGCCGAGCCATAATTAATGTTCTTAAAAACTCTCTGTTGGTCCTAGATTATAAAATTGTTATATTTTTATTGTTGTTGGGAAATAGTATTACAAATTGATATGAGTTTAATAGGACAGACTGGTTTGGCCATGTAAAGCCTAACGTAGCAACTGACAAACTGGTAAGAATCGGTTGTCAGGGCCAGGCACAGTAGCTCACAACTGTAAGCCTAGCACTCTGGGAGGCCAAGGCAGGTGTGTTGCTTCAACTCAGGAGTTTGAGACCAGTCTGAGCAAGAGTAAGACCCTATCGCTACTAAAAATAGAAAAAGTAGCCAGGTGTCGTGATGCACGTCTATAGTACCAGCTACTTAGGAGGTACCCAGGGCAACAGAGTGAGAATCTTGTATCAAAGAAAAAAAAAAGAATTGGTTGGCAAATGAGGTCAGTAATGTTTTGCCATGGGGAAGTCAACTAACGTAATTTTGATCAATAACCACAAGTCCATTCACGCCCAATCTGTAGGTGCTATTGGTCCTGAATTGTGTTGGGCAAGAACATGTGCCTAGATCTGCATAAATTTATTTCTCTAGTCGAATCTGGGAATGTCTCATAGTCATTCAACAAATATTATAAAGGTTGTTATAAAGGTTGCTATACATACAAAGGGAAAAGGGTAATTGTAACTAAATGTACCTTTATTTACAAAATGTTCATTACAAAATATTTCTCTATGTGTTGATATGTAAATAAAAATACTAAAAATACAAATATAAAGTATAGTTGGTTAGTTAATTTTTCTTTTTTATGGTCACTATACTATGTGCTTTGTGAAATAACAATGAACTAAAGATCCTATTCTCTAAGTGCTTACCTTCTAATAGGGGAGCAAAAGACATAAGTTGTGTGCTACATTAGAAATCAGTAAATGCTGTGGATAATAGTGTAGAATAACAGGGATATACTATAATATATAATTTATGTTTTTAATATATAAATTTTGTTAATAATTTTAACAAATTTTCAGCAGAAACGTAACGGAGATGAGGTAATTAGTCATGTGGAAATCTGGAGATAAACATTTCAAGCCTATGGAACTGCTAGAGCAAAGAACCTAAGGTGTGAACACACCGAGGATACTCATACCTTAGGTTGATGTAGAGTACCTTAGGAAAGAGAAGTAATGGGGAAGGGGGACAGTCAGATCACATAGGATCTTTGTGGATCATTCAAGGATTTTGGCTTATGTTTTTGGTGAAATGGGCAGATAGGGCAGGATTTTAATCAGATTTAATTGATAATTCTTCAGTCCTAATAGAACTCTTGTGATTGCTGTCCAGCCTGGATAGAAGCAATGACAGAAACTCAAATTTTGAAACCTACTTGTAGACTAAGGATAGCACATCAGTGATTAATGATAAAGGCCCCTAGAGTCTGACAACTGAGATTTAAATCCTAATTTTGCTACCTACTATTTTGGTAAGTAACTAAACTTGTATATTTTCATTTCCTCATTAGGAAAATGAAGGTGATAATTCCTCAGAGAGTTGTGGTAATTAAACTGATACATGTAGCTCTTTAAATAGTACCATGCAATGTAAAGGCACAATAGTTGTTGGTAATTATCATCCTATATGTGTTTGCTGAATCATGCTGATTCTACGACCACAGTGTTTAACATTGGTCCTTTCCTTTCTGTGTGTACTTAACAATACTCTAGTTCAAACCACAGAAGCTCTTTCCTGGGCCATTATAGCCACTGTCTAATTGATTTCCTTGCCTCTTCTGTCCCAGCCACTTTTGTACACTGCTGTTAGATCGTCTCATTACATCTGTGATCTAAAACCTTAATTCCTTTCTTCTTGACTTCTAAGTTAAGTGCACATTACTCAAGGCTGTTCTTCATGTGGTTCTAGCTTGTTCTGCAATATTAAGTACACAGGACTCCATGCTTGCTCTCAAGTCATGTGGATCCTTTGTGACGTACTTTTAATTTCACCTTAAGTGCCACCAGCTACATTTTCTACCTTAAAATATTCCCCAGTTGGTACTATAATTATTTTCATGCCTCTCTAATCCTTAGATTTGGAATGCTAAGTGCAAGGTATATCTCTTACAGCTTCAACTGTGTGTTCTACTGTAGCTCCATACCATGTAGTAGATATTTTAATAAATATTTGTTGAATTGATTTTCTTTCAATTGTCATTTGCTTCTAGGAATGATCAACAGCATCACACAACTGAGTTTGAATGTGAGGAAAATGTTATTCCAGATTCACCAATAACAGCCTTCTCATTTTCTGGCAGTAACCGGCTACGAAGAAAGGAGAGCCTCCACGTCCGATACATAGAACAAACACATACTAAATCGGAGCTCTCTGTGTGTCCAAATGGTGAGTTGGAGTTGTTTGTTTGTTTTGCAGTTTTTGGCCAGGGCCAGGTTTGAACCTACCACCTCTGGTATATGGGGCCTTCGCCCTACTCCTTTGATCCACAGGCGCTGCCCAGTGAGTTGGACTTTTGTATTTTAGTTGTCTGGGTTTTTTGTTGTTGTTGTTTGTTTGTTTGTTTTGCAGTTTTGGGCTGGGGCTGGGTTTGAACCCACCACCTTCAGCATATGGGGCGGGTGCCTCACTCCTTTGATCTACAGGCATCGCCCTTAGTTGTCTGGTTTTACAAAAGAGTATTCATCTGCTAGTTTTCAGGTTATTCATTTTAGTAGAAAGAAGGTAGTCATTGTTCAGGTAATTCATGGTGTAACTATGAGTTTGACTTCCATCAGTAAATTGCCTGAGAATGCATTTTCTGCCTATGTTATTTAAAGATATGTGTTGCTCATATGGCTGTGTAAACACTGTATTTTACAAATATAATTAGTAGTTTCTTTTTATTTAAGAAATATATGTATATATCTGAGTGAGATAGAATAGGAACGGAATTTAACATTACTTTTCACCTCCTGTGTGCCAAGTATTATGCTGAATGATTTGCATACATTATTGCTATATTATAAATCTCAAAACAGGCTTGTAAGGTAGCTATTGACTCCTTTGTTTTATAAATGAGGAGAGATATGTTTAGAAAGTTTAAATAACTTACAATCAACTGTCAGGTAGGTAAATGAGTAAAAATTAAAATAAAAGTCTTCCTAGCTCTAAGCTCTTGTACTTTCTAAGGCTTGCCTGTAAGTATGCCAACCAGTGGAGCTGTCTTTAACTGGCTGTTTTTATTTGTTATAATTTGTAGGAGTTAGTGATAAGAAATGGCTTTATAATATGTCCACATTTTGACTTAGCTTTAGCATGTTTCTAATTCCATCTGAGTTTTCTATTTCTCCTAAATGCTTTGAAACTGGCTTTTCATAGAGTCATGAAGTTGATTATGTAACATGATACAGAGATTATTCCTTGTATGTTAATCTAAAGTAAATGGTAAAGACTTTAATTTTTAACTGTAATTATTTTTAACGAGGAAAGCATCTGGGGGGAAAGGATATACATAATTGTAGAAATATTTATACAATGCAAATAAACTGTTGACAGTAGGTATGCCTTTAAAAGAATAAGCAGATCTTATGATAATGAAACACTGGCAGTTATCTCCTATATTTTTATGAGTTCACATCACCATCTAGTGGAAAACAAAAGAACTTTAAAATCCTACACATAATTAGCTAAATTAAAATGTTAAGATCATAGATCTAGAATGAATATTGTTTGCCTTTAGTCTACTGTTTAACAAGACATAAATCATTACAGATAATCATCTGCATAATTTGGGTCATGTTTAAATCCATGTATAAGAATATCCAGAAAACAACAAAATAAAAAAGAATATCCAGAAAACAAACCATAGCAATTTTCTGTATTAGGAAAGTCATCTTTTGTAGCCAATAAAAATGCTTTTGGTTTATTTCTCTTTTGTCTGAGAGCAACATTTAACTACAGTATTTAGAAACTTAATTTTCTTTAATCTTGTTCTGGTCATATTTTACTTAAAATCTGAAATTTGGTTTTATGATAAAACTTTTGGATAATGTAAATTATTTTAAAATTTTAAATGATTTAATATCTAATATGTCCTATTCTCTAAGCACCCTTGCTTTTTCCCTTAAAATAGTAGCTTTTTAATATTATTTTCAAGTTATAAATAGGAAAGCACTAATTCTCTTTGTCCATCTTTTAATTTTCTTTGAATTAAATTCTTAAATAGAAGAATGATTCCTTCCTGATAAAAACGTGTTTCAGAGTTTCCTTCTCTAAAATAAAACCCTAAAACAAAGATTGTTGAGATATATAATTTAGTATACTTTTTAAATTAACCTGCTGATTATAAAAAATACATAGGAAAAGAAACATTAAAATATCCCTACTTTAAGCACCTTAGGTCAGAAGAAGCTTGTCTGTTCTGGTCCTCTCTATCCCATTGTCTAACTTGCAGCTTTGTTTCTTAGTAAAAGTAAAACTTATTTCTTAAAATATGAAAATTATGTCAATAAAATGGTACTTTATATGTACTAATGCATTTAAAGACAGGTAATAATAAAAACAAATAATATTTTTATATTTTTCATTATTCTTTATCATGCAATCTCTCTTCTTTTTTTTCCCCTTAGAACTGAGAAAAGTTTCCAAGGCATCAACTCATCCACAACATAATTCTAATGAAAATGAAATTCTAGTAGCTGACACTTGTGATCAAAGTCAACCTCTAATGGCTAGTAAGCAACATATTGATACTACTTTATAAATGTAAAGTTTATAGTTATTAGTGGGTAAGAGTATCAACAGTCTGCATTAGATGATATTATTAAGAGTTTTAATATAATATTGTTTATATTACTATTTGTTTAGAAGTCTTTCATATTGGAAAGTAATGTTATCCTATTATTCATATTAATATCTTTACCCATATTAATGTGAATTCCTCGTAATTTTAAATAAGGAAGACTTTACGGTGATATATTCATTCAACAAATACATACGTGTATATTGTACTCCAGGCACTGAACAAAACAAAGCCCTAGCCCTCATGGAGCCTACAAATTTAGTTGGGAGAGAAAGAAAATAAATATGTGTCAGATAGAAGGGAGTACTGTGAAGAAAAGTAAAGCAGGGTAAGGAGGAATATGAGAAAGCCTTACTCCTGGCTCGGCGCCTATAGCTCAACCGGCTAAGGCGCCAGCCACGTACACCTAAGGTGGCGGGTTCTAATCCCCAGCCCGGACCCGCCAAACAACAATGATGGCTGCAACCAAAAAATAGCCGGGCATTGTGGCGGGCACCTGTGGTCCCAGCTACTTGGGAGGCGGAGGCAGGAGACTCGCTTGAGCCCAGGAGTTGGAGGTTGCTGTGAGCTGTAATGCCACGGCACTCTACCCAGGGGGACAGCTTGAGGATCTGTCTCAAAAAAAAAAAAAAGCCTTACTCCTAAAGTGACACTTTAACAGAGACTGAGGAGAGAAGTGAGTCATATGGGGAAAGGGCATCCCAGACCCAGACATCAGCGAGCACAAATGCCTTGGCAATGATGGTGCCAGGTGGTTTGTTTGAGGAGCATTAAGGAAGCCTATGTGGTTAGAGTAGGGTGAAGGGAAAGGAGATGTGTTTGGACAAGATAAAGAATAGAATTGCCATCAACCAAGATAGTATCTAAAACCATGAAACTGGATGTAATTACCAAACAGGTTGAATATAGATGAGTAAGAGAAGTCCAAGTACTAAGCTCTAGGGACTCCATTATGTAAAGCAATGATTTTCTTTTCTTTCTTTTTTTTTTATTAAATGATAACTGTGTACATTGATGCAATCATGGGGTACAGTGTGGTGTTTTCATATACAGTTTGAAATATTTTCAATAATAATTGGTTAACATAGCCTTTATGTCAAAGCAGTGATTTTCAACTTTTTATTTTTTTATTATCACCCCACCCCCAGACTTTTTAGATATTTTTTTCCTATTCACTTTCCCTATGGAATTTTAATACTATAGATGTACTGTATAACTGTATGTATTATATATATGTATGTATACACATGCTTTATACACAAATAGAGTAAGTTTATTTTGTGCCTCAAGAACCATTTTTCAGCCTGGAGCAGTGGCTCACGCCTGTAACCCTAGTGCTCTGGGAGGCAGAGGCAGATGGATTGCTTGAGTTCAGAAGTTCAGGACCATCCTGAGCAAGAGCAAGAGCTAAAAGTAAAAAAATTAGTCCAGCCTTATGGCAAATGCCTGTAGTCCCAGCTACTTGAGAGGCTGAGGCAAGAGGATCTCTTGAGCCCAAGAGTTTGAGATTGCTGTGAGCTATTACACCAGAGTACGCTACCCAGGGTGACAGAGTAAGCCTCTGCCTCAAAGAAAAATAAATAAATAAAAATAAAGACCCATTTTTGACCCCCCTTGGAGGCAGTATTGCAGCTATTGAGGTGGTGATTTAGAGGTTGCAAAAAAGAGGAGGAACCAACAAAATAGAGAAAGGGCTACCAGTGAGATAGGATGACTAACAGTGATGTCCTTTAAGCCATGGGGAAAAGGGAAGAAAGAATAGCCAACTGTGTTAAATCTTGCTAATATGTCAAGTAAGATGAAGACTTCTTAGAATTGATGACTGGATTTGGATGCATGGAGGTCATTGGGTGTTAAACTAGTAGCATGATTAAAAACTGTAAAGGTGTACCAGTGACCATCTGAGACAGTATCATGCTCAAGGGAAACTAGGGACAGGGAAAATGGAAAGAGCACAGTTAAACAGGTCCTCCACAGCATTTTTATGGTAAAGTCAAGGAGAGAAATGGACAGTGGCTAGAGAGGAATATGGAGGAATATGGGTCAAAGGAGAGTTTTTCAGAGTAGAATACTATTTCATGGTCAACATACATTTATGCTAATGGGATGATCAAGTAAGGGAGGGATTAGTAATTCTGGAGAAAGAGGGAACAATTGCTAGATTCTTAAAAATGTCAACAGAGATAGGATCTAGAGCCCAGTAAGTAGAGTTGGCCAGGATTAATCACTTACTTGTTTATATGTAGAACTTACATTCTGATCATTTTATATTGAGTGATCCTTGCTTCTCCGCACTCCAGAGCCACATCTCTTCTGCTGTTACCAGGATTTTACTCCATCAATTGTCCTCTTCCTACATGTAAACAGTATCTCTACTGTTTTCTCCTTATACACACGTTATCTTCTATCTTCTAAAAATAAAACCTCTTTTAATTGTTTCCACTACAACTTCTCTTCAAAGTTGAAAAAGTGATCTATACCCAATATCTGTACTTTCTTAATTTTCATCACTCCCAAATCCACTGTAGTATGAATTCCAACACCACCCCGACCCCTCATGAGAGAAAGAAAGGGGAGGAGAGAGATAAGGGACAAGGAAAGAAAGAAAACATTTGCACATCCTCTTACTCACTACACTAGATCTGCTTTTGGCAAAAACCATCAATGTTGCTGTTCTCCAAAATACATGGTCCTGCGCCTGTTCTTATCTCACTTTCTATCTCTTTCTGGAGAAATCTCACTGAAAGTGTGTATTCTGCTATGGCTTATATGTTAATAAATCCCAAATCTATATCTCTGTCCCAGCCTATTCTCCTGAGTTCCAAACCAGTGTATCTCTCTGCTGTTGATACCTGGCTATCCTTCAACTTTAGCATGTTCAAAATTGACACCTTCCTGTCAAACCTCCTCATATGTGTATTTATAAGCTCAATGAGTGACATTGTGAATACCTCTTAAGTTATCTAAATCAAAAACTTTGAGTCATCCTAGATTCCTGCTTTTCATCTCTTGTATCTAAACAGCCTCTAAGTCTTACTTAGAGAAATGGATTCTGCCTCCTGCACATTCATTTTCCATATTCTTCTGCACACCTTTGTACTAATTTCAGGCATCAGCATCTCTCATCAAGACTGTTTCAGTAAACTAATTTGTCTTCTTGCCTATTAATGACTACTTCTTGCCTTATGAGCCTGTCACAACCATAATTAACTTTTATAACCCAAATATTGCATCTATCCTCCATTTAAAATTCTTGGATATGGTTCTGGCACCTGTAGCTCAGCGGCTAGGATGCCAGCCACATACACCAGAACTGGTGGGTTCAAACCCAGCCCAGGCCTGCCAAACAGCAATGACAACTACAACCAAAAATAGCCGGGCATTGTGGCAGGTGCCTTTAGTCCCAGCTACTTGGGAGGCTGAGGCAAGAGAATCACTTAAGCCCAGGAGTTTGAGGTTGCTATGAGCTGTAATGCCATGGCACTCTACCAAGGGCGACATAAAGAAACTCTTGTCTCAGAAAAAAAATTCTTGGATATCTCTTCATTGTATATAGGATAAATTCTAAACTTCTTAGCAATCTGATCCTAGGCAACCCAACTCAGCACATGTTCTGCTACTTCCATCTTCTGCAGTGTGATTTCTGGTAGTTGAACCATATGTAGTTCCCTGAACAAGCAATTTAGCAATTTTGTTTCCCTTATGTACTCCCTTAAACATGCCTAGCAGCCTACCTAATGTTTCCAATCCACTTAACCTGTCACATTCCTCTTTTTCTCAAGGTCTACCTACACATCACTTTGTATAAAACTTCCTTTGATTTTCCCAAGGCAGATACAAGAGTTTTTCTCTGTTTAAACCACTTCTTAAGTGTACTTTTATTATAATTTTTCACATTCTACTGAAATTCTCTTTTTACCTTTCAACTGTAGCTCACAAACTCCTTGAGGATAAGAACTCTTTCATCTGGTGCTTAGCACAATGCCTGGAACTTAGTAAGTGCTCCATAAATGCTGAGTTATCAAAACTTTATAAAATACTTGAACATTGGTAGTGATTCCTGTATGTCTTAACTTTAAACTTGAAAAATAGTAACTTTTAGTAATAAAAGTCTCCCACAAACTGTTTTTATAAAAGATAAAACTGTGGTTTGATACTCATATTGTATCATAGTTCATAGTAAGTCCATTGTATGATTTTTTTTCTCCCAGTGGTAGTAAGAAAAATTACTGCATTTAATTCATTTTGGAAAAATAGAAAACTTAGTTGAAAACATTTAACAAATGTGGACACTAAATACCTGCAGGGTAGTGCCATTCATAGTAGATATTTTGAACTTTTTGGACAGAATTTAAATTTTGTCCAGTGTAATCATCTAAAGAGATTTTATGCAGTGATTCTCTGAGCCTTTTTCTTCCTCCCTCCCTCTTTCCCTCCCTCCTTTCTGTCTTCCGTCCTTCCTTCTTTCCTTCCTCTCTTTGGTTTTACTCTCTTATCCAGGTTAGAATGCAGTCATTGGATCATAGTTCACTATCACCTCAAACTCCTGGGCTCAAGTGATCCTTTGGCCTCAGTCTCCTGAGTCGCTGGAACTACAGGTGTGCTCCACCACACCCAGCTGGAGTTTTTTTATTTTTTCTTGTAGAGATGGGGTTTTGCTATATTGCTCAGTCTGTTCTTGTGTTCTTAGCCTCAAGTAATCTTCCCACTTCAGCCTCCCAAAGTGCTGGGATTACTGTCATCAGCCACTATGCCCAGCTCCCTTTTTTGTAATTTTTAGACATCTAGTCTCTGTAGTTGTATAATAGTTGTTTTTTCTTACTTAGAAACACATGGGACAAGCAGTTATCCCACTGATAAGTCATCTTTCAATTTAGCTGCAGTCGTTGCTGAAACACTTGGACTCAGTGTTCAAGAAGAACCTGTAAGTAATTGTTTGGTGATAAAATGAATTGTTACATCTTTTTAGGTCAGTTCTTAGAGAATTGAGCAAGAGAAAAATTATTTTACCTAAAGATCACTGGATCAAGGCCTAGAACAAAAATAATGTTGTTAGAAAGGCCTGTTTATGTTCTCTATCCCAGACAGTCCCGGGAGTCCAGAATCTTTAGAATTCTTAAAATATGGGTTGAGTCAAGATCTGGGAGAATAACAACAGCATAGAGATTTTGTCAACTGTTTTTTTCCTTCCTCCTTTCTCCTGCTTCCTCCCAATCCCCTGTTCCATCTAAGAAAAGATCTAAACCATGAGGTTGACTTCAGAATTTATTGAATCTTTTTTACATCCTCTAAACTGAGATTTGATTTGGAAAACAGACTGTTCTTTTAACTGCCAAGAACTGCCAGTCCAATTAGATCTAAGTCTTAGACATTGGGTCCAAAAATGACCCCCAAATCTTCTTTTCATTATTTTAGTACTTCCTCACTTCAGGCAAGTTTACTTTTTTTTTCCTTAATTGATTCCAAGAAAATAGAAAACCTGAATTCTTCAGTCTTAAGGAATAGTTCTATTCCAGGACAGTTTTAAAAGAATATTTCTTTGCTTTAATCAGTAATTGTGTATGTGCTTTTAAGTGGTCTTGCTGTTCAATTTCTAAAAATTGAATTGCTTTTTATTACATTTGGATTTTCTTGTCCTTTTTAGTTTTAAACCTGTCCTCAAATGATTTGGGGTAGTTTTTAAACTTTAAATGTGTCTTAATGGTTTCTAATTCCCCCTTGCAAGTCAGTAGTTTAGACACCAGATATATTAAAGGAGTTGAAATCTAAAGACCTTCTGCTCAAAGTTTGAGCCATAGGTCAACAACATCTACATTACTTTTGAAATTTATTAAAGATGGAGTATCTCAGACCTGCTGAAACTTGTATTTATATGTATGTGTGTGACTTTTTCTTTTTTTTTTTGAGACACCCTCACTCTGTCACCCTGGCTTAAGTGCTGTGGTGTCATAGCTCACAGCAACCTCAAACTCTTAGGCTCAAGAGACCTCTTGCCTCAGCCTCCCAGGTAGCTGGTACTACAGGCACCTGCCACAACACCTGGCTGTTGATTTTTTTAGAGATGGGGTCTTACTCTTGCTCAGGCTGCCCTCGAACTTCTGAACTCAAGCAGTCTCCCTGCCTCGGCCTCCCAGAGTGCTAGGATTACAGGCATGAACCACTGTGCCTGGCCTGGAAACTTAGTATTTTAACAAGATCACTAGTTGACTTGTATGCATATTAAAGTTTAAGAAGCATTGCTCTCTAAAGGAATGTTTTAAATTCATCTCCTATTCATATAAATAATTATCCTTATTCTCTTCCCTTCTTCTTAATAATGTCTTTTTGGAATTGGAGCTTTATCTACAGGTAGTAGAATATACTTACATAAAATATTAAAACTTACTTTTCTCTTTAAACGTAAAATGTTCTTTATATTTTTTTATTGCGATGAAAATCACATAACATTAAGTTAATCATTTCAAAGTGTATAATTCAGTTGCATTTAGTATTTACAGTGTTAGACAACTTCCACTTCTATATAGTTCCAAAGCATTTTTATCACCCCCAAAAAACCGTACAACCATTAAACATTCATTCCCATTCTCTTCTCCCTGCAGCCACTGTTAATAACCAGTCTGCTTTCTGGTTCTGTGGATTTTCCTCTTCTCAGTATTTTGTATAAATAGAATCATATATTATGTGGCCTTTTGCTTAGCATATTTTTGAGGTTAATTCATATAGCATATGATAGTACTTCATCATTTTTAAGGATGGATAATAATCGATGGGTCTACTTTTTACTATTGAAGGAATCTCAAAGTTCCATGAGCCCTCTTGGTGATAGCCTCTACCATTGTTTGGAAAAGGATCACAAGAAACAACCTTTTGAGGAATCTACAAGAAATATTGAAGATAGTTTAAGGTAATTTGGATCACTTTTGGTGTAAACTATTGGTGAGATATCATTACAATGAGTTGTATATAATTAAATAATTTCTTTCCCTGAGCATATAGTGTTTCATTCTAGTTATATTTATTTTTACTTCTAAAAATTTCTCCCCAGTTTATGACCAATTGAGAGCTTATTTGCATTACAATAGAGATGAGCTAAACAGCAATGTCAGATATAGTACCGTAGATACTTTCTGTATATTTATCAAGTACTAATTAAGAGCTCCCAGTCTGTTACTCTGCTCCTTTAAAGATTCAGTCATTCTCTTCTGGGTTTGTATTTTAAAAAACTGGATGTAAGTGTGATTGAGTTCCCAAGATTGTGTTACAGTTCATTTTAAAATTTCAGAACATCCATTAACTAGTAACACAGACATCCCTTAGTATCCATGGGGGATTGATTCTTCACCTCCCACCCTCACCTTGGATACCAAAATCCAAAGATGCTCAAGTTCCTTATATAAACTGACCATCTTATTTGCATATAATTTACATATGTTCTCCCATATACTTTAAATCATTTGTAGATTATTTATAATACTTAATACAGTGCCTACATATCACTTCATTCACACAAATAGATTCAACACAGTACTTGACACATGGCAAATTCAAGTACTGCTTTCTGGAACTTTGTGAAATTTGGGGTTTTTCCCGAATATTTTCTATCTCCAGTTGATTAGATACACAGATACAGAAGCCACAGATAATGAAGGACTGGCTATACCTACATTTATGTAGCGTTTTGTATTACAGAAGAACTTTTCATTTTTACATACATATATTACATATATGTGTGTGTGTGTGTGTGTGTGTATTTTTTTTTTTTTTTTGAGACAGAGTCTCACTATGTTGCCCTCAGTAGAGGGCTGTGTTGTCACAGCTCACAACAACCTCAAACTCTTGGGCTTAAGTGATTCTCTTGCCTCAACCTGCCAAGTAGCTGGGACTACAGGCACCCACCACAACGCCCGGCTATTTTTTTGTTATAGTTGTCATTGCTGTTTAGCTCACCCAGCCTCGGTGTACGTGGCAGGCACTGTAACCACTGTGCTATGGGCGCCGAGCCTATATTACAATATATTAATCTATCCTCATAGTAATTCATCAAAGTAGGTGCAATTATTGTCATTTTAAGACATTTAAAATATTAAGACATGTTTCTTATATCATTTTCCTCTGGAGTTTTCATTCAAATGAAGAGTATACACTATCTTAAATTTTGGTTAATCATCTACCTCTACTACATAGATAAGACCTTACTATTAATTCTATATTAACAAAGGTTTTTATTATGCTTGTCTCTTAATTTATATCTTATCCCATTAATAGGAAAAATTTTTATCACTCTTTATTTATTTAGATTTTCAGATTCTACTTCACAATCTCCTCCTCAAGAATTGACTACTCGGGTGTCATCTCCTGTATTTGGAGCTACCTCTAATATGAAAAGTAGTTTAGGTTTGAATACAAGTTTGTCCCCTTCTCTTTTAGAGACTGGGAAGAAAAAATGTCTGAAAACAGCCCCTTTTCTCAATACTTCTATTTCTAGATCAGAGAAAACTAGATCAAAATCTGATAATAGTACCCTTTTCACACCTCATAGTCTTGGGTCTGATGTGAACAAGATCATTAGCCAGTCATCTTCTAATAAACAGATACTTAAAAATATAAGTGAACCAACAGGTGGACAAGGTGGTACTGATCACATTAAAGATGTTATAACTGGTAAACATTTAGAGGCCCAGAAATCATTAGGAGGCAGAACATCCAAAAGGAAGAAAATTGAGGAAGAAAATGAACATGAAATAAGCTACCCGCAAGCCTCCTTTGATAAAGAAAATGCTTTTCCTTTTCCAATGGATGATCAACTTTCCATGAATGGGGACTATGTAACGGAAAAACCTTTGGATCTGTCTGATCCATTTTCAGCTATTCAGCGTCAAGACAAAAGCCAAGGAAGTGAGACTTCTAAAAACAGACTTAGGCAAGTGACTATTTATGAGACTTTGAAGCCCATTTCCAAGGGTTCTTCCTCAAGCCGTAAGGCCTTGAGTGGGACCTGCATGTTGTCCAAAGATTCCCCAGAGGACCCCCATTTGCAGGAGTGCATTATCCTCCAGCCCTTTGGTAAATTCTCTCCAGACAATAAACCACCATTACAAATAAAAGAAGAAAATCCTGTCTTCAAAATCCCTGTACATCCACATAAAAGTCTGGAGACAGAGAGTCTTCTTGATGACATGAAGGTATGTGTTAATGTTCAAGGTTTTGATTAAAATGGTTGTTTGTGATTTTATCTTAATACTAATAATTATTTCTATTTTAGGGTACTGGTTCTCATGAGCCAATAAAAATAAAAGTCAGGCCAGTCCATTCAGGATGTGAACTTGCATCAGTTCTTCAGTTAAATCCATGTAGAATAGCTAAAGCAAAGCCTCTGCAAAACAACCAAGGTGTGTACTTTATGAAGGGGGTTTCCCCTCTTTTTAATGACTTTAATTACATTCTTTGAATAAATTGAATTGTTTTGGAAAAAAAATCTTATTTTCACTGCATGTATCTATATCTATAGGATGATTCTCATTGGTTTAATTTTACCTATGATTCTTTTTTTTTTTTTTTTTTGAGACAGAATCTCACTATGTCACCCTTAGTAGAGGACTATTGCATCACAGCTCACAGCAACTTCAAACTTCTGGGATTAAGCAGTTATCTTGCCTCAGCTTCCCAAGTAGCTGGGACTACAGGCACCCGCCACAACGCCTGGCTATTTTTTGGTTGCAGCCGTCATTGTTGTTCGGAGGGCCCGGGCTGGATTCGAACCCGCCACCTTGGGTGTATGTGGCTGGTGCCTTAGCCACTTGAGCCACAGGCACCAAGCCAAGGGTTTTACTTCTATAAAAAAATTTTTTTCTCTGTTATTCCTGATTTTTCTTTTTTATTTTTAAACTTTTTAACCTTTTTTCATGGTTGCTCTAGGGATTACAATATAGCTACTTAACCTTTCCCAGTCTTCTTGGAGTCGATATTGCACCACTCATGTTCAATACCCACACTTTATGTAGCCACCATGTATTATATCCACATACATTGAAGATTTTTCCAAACAGTGCTATAATTTTAAATTTTAAAAAATATTGTTTTGAAATATAAATCACATATTATAACAGTCTCCCATTAATGTAGTGTTCAGTTCAGTGGTTTTGGTATACTCAGACTTGTACAACCATCTCTATAGTCTAAGCTTGGCACAATTTCATCACTCTTCTTCCCCTCACTATTCTGTCTTCCTAGTCATCACTAATCTTACTTTTCTGTCTCCATAGATTTGCCCATACTAGAATTTTTATATAAATAGAATTACTTACTATAAGATCTTTTGTGACTTATTTCACTTGTCCTAATGTCAATTTTTATCTATATTGTAGCATATATTATGTATCAATATTATTTCTTTTTATTGTTGAATAGCATTTCATTGTATAAGTATTTCATTGTATAAGTATTTTAAAAAGTATAAGTATTTTAAAAAGTATACTTTAAAAAGTATTTTTAAAGTGTTTTATTTATTCATTTGTCCATTGACAGACATTTAAGTTGCTTCCATTTTTGCTATTATGAACATTGTTTCTATGAACATTGTGTACAAGTTTTCGTGTGAATGTATGTTTTCATTTGGGGGGGGGGGTGTTAAACCTAGGAATGGAACTATTAGACCATATTCCTACTCAGGGTTTTTCCTCTTGAAGGATTGCCAGTTTTCCAAAGTATCTACCCCATTTCACATTCCCACCAGCAGTGTATATAAGAGTTCTTATTTCTCCATATTCTTACTAAGACTTGTTACCTTTTTAATTCTAGCCATCCTAGTGGGTGAGAAGTATCTCATTGTGATTTTGGTTTGCATTTCTTTGATTGCTAGTGATATTCAGCATCTTTTCTTGTTTTTATTGGCCATTGCTATATCTTCTTTGGAGAACTGTCCATTCAGGTCCTTTGCCCATTTTTGATTGGGATATTTATCTTTTTATTGTTGAGTTGTGAGAGTTCTTTACATATCCTGGGTATAAGTCCTTTACCAGACATGATTTGCAAAAAATGTTATATTTTATAGATCTCATAATGTTTTAAAGTGGTAAGAATTTTTGAAGTTAGTTTTTTAATTGCATATTTTTTTCTCCTATCTAAAGATGTATCCTTTGAAAATATCCAGTGGAGTATAGATCCAGGAGCAGACCTTTCTCAATATAAAATGGATATTACTGTAATAGATACAAAGGTAAGTAAGGTAAAACCAAAGCCCATTCTAGTTAATTGTTAGTCATACCCTACTCCTGACTTCGCATTCTACAACCTTGAGATAAACAGATATCTCTTAAAGTCTGCATGTATTTATTCAAAAAGTAGGAAACAAAGATTTTTATTCTTCCAACTTTATGGTATTTTTGAAAGGATAATAATACTTTCTGGTTTTAAAAGACTTCAGAAAAAACAGTAATTTTTTTTAAAAACAATGTAAAATGTTACGTATTTCAAATAATTTTATTTTTATTAAAATAATACATCATATGTTTTGATTAGCTAGCTGTAATACACTGTCAAAAAATTATTTTCCCAGTTGACTATTTTTTAATACTGTATTTTTAAAATTAATACTTTTTTGCCTTATATTTAGGTTCTGTGTAGTTTGAGTTCTTTTTCCTTTAGTACCATATTAATAACAAAGTATCTAAGAGTTGCCAGAGTGATATACATGGTTAATCAAGTTCACAAACTCATCCTAGAAAATACATACCTCATTGCTGAATATCACTATAGTCACTAGATGACCAAGTTGAGTATTTCAAAGGTGACTAAGTAATATTCAGCAGTGAGGTATGTAGCACTTTTTCTATGACAAGTTTGTGAACTTAATTGTCAGTCACATACGATAGTTCTGATGGCTGTTCCAGAAAAATAGTTTCAAATTGTTCTGAAGGGTGGACCATCCTCTGGTATTAGTATGCAGCTTCCCAAGGGGAGTACCTGGAAAGTGACCATAGTGGTATTCAGTCAATGAGATATATAGCACTTTTTCGAGGATGAGTTCACAACTTAATTGTCCAACTTCATAAGCCCCTCAAGAAATTAAATTTGACTTTTGAAATTGTTGTTCTTAGTGTATAGTGTTGGTTACTATGAGGCAGATTAGAGAAGAAAGGCAGGTAAAGCTCAAGGGAGTTCAGTGGTAAATAATCCTCCCTTTAGTTGGCCTTAGTCCTTTTCCCATGCTTGAGAGAGTATGCTTATACATTGAAGCTAAAATGTTTTATAGGCAGTAAAATCTAAATCTATATCTGTTCTTAAGATATAAAGGTAAAATTGATAAAATTAATGTATTATTTTACCAAATTTTTTTTTGTAAAAAGTAAATATAAGGCCATAAAGAATAATTGTTAATTATTTTGAATATTTATTCAGGATGGCAGTCAGTCAAGATTAGGAGGAGAGACAGTGGATATGGACTGCACGTTGGTTAGTGAAACTGTGCTTTTAAAAATGAAGAAGCAACAGCAGAAGGGAGAAAAAAGTCCAAGTAAGATTTCTTTTTGCTTTTGTTTATTTTAATAAAAATGTGGAGTGAAGTTCATAGTTGTACCATTGTACTGATTAGTTTAAGTGGCCTTTTACCATAAACCAGGATTTTTTTCCTGCTCTGTTAATTTTGTGCTCTTTTTAGGAAAGCTCAATATTTAAGGGAAAAAAATCTTTAGCCAAAATAATTTTATTCTAGAAAAAATTCAGATTGCTTCCAGAGGTCAGCAAAGGATAGCCAGCTGCCAGTTTTGTAAACAAAGTTTTGCTGGGGCACAGCCTCGTTGATTTATTTATGTGTTGCCTATGGCTGCTTGCTCCATACAGTAGCAGAGTGGAGTAGCTGCTGCAGAGAACTAAGGGCCCCCATTAGCCTGAAATATTTACTGTCTGGCCCTTTAAGGAAAAGTTCACTGATCCCTGATTTAGACAATTTTTTATAAATGGTTTAACAAGGAATCTTGAGAGTCCTGTATTAGAATTATGATTTTCCTAAAGCAATTTGATAAGGAAAGAAAGAAATTCTACTGAGACATGTAAGTATAGATTTACAAATAAGCACTGCAAGTGATAGTGTATATGCTGGGTTAATCTGCCACATTCTGCCCCTATGTAAAAGAGGATTTAGCCAAATTAAGGGTCTATAACCCTTCATGGTGAGAAACTTAATTCTACCTAAAACCTTGGTTCTCCAAAAGTGGGAAACAATAGAAGGATTTTGGCTAGGACTACCTTAGCAGCATTTCTACCGGTAGAGGCACGTGATGTGAGACCAACCTGGACTTGGAGCAGTTGTCATTTGTCAATGAGGTATTGGAGGTTGAGGGCTTGCCACATAGGGACACAGTGCTGAGAGAAGAGGCATTTCCCAGTGCCTGATAGAATCTGAGCACTTTCTGGCTGTCTGTGTTCCCTGTCTTCTTGAATTTTCTGTATCTTGCCTGCTCAAAGCCAAGAGAAAACAGTAGTCTTGTCCCAGCTGCTTTTGAATCACTCTTGCTACCCTAAGTACAGAATATGAGAGAAAATTATAATAATCTTTGCCTTAATTCTTGGTTCTTTAATAATGAATAACTAACTATGTAATGGAGCAAATACCTGCTAAAAGAAAAACCTTAGTAGTAATTTAATGTCTTCTTAAGGTTTTATGTGACACTTCAGTAACTGTTCTTAGTAGGATACCTTCATTTTAAGATACTTAGTTCCTGGTACCAACCCCTAATAGTGTTTTTCTTATTTTTTGTAAAAAACTAAAGTACAATTACTTTGGCTTTAAATCTATCTAGTTGATTCAAAGAAAATAATAGTTTCTGAAGTTTATTTAAAGGAAGTATCATGTGTAAGTGAAATAAGAACTTGGACTAATGAATAGAAGTTATAGAGATAATTTTGGCTACAGAAAGTGTTATGGATACTGTTGCTACATAATAAATCACCCTAATAACTTAGAGGATTAAAACAGCAACAGTCATTTACTTATCTTCACAGTTTCTGTGGCTTAGGAGTTCAGAAAGGGCTTAGCTGGGCAGTTCTGTTTCAGGGACTCTCATGCAGTTATAGGCAGGTGATGGCCACAAAGGAAGTGCAGAGGGCTGGGCAACCGGAGGGTCCATTGTCTTCTCACTTCTCCTTTGCCCTCAAGGCTTCCTCATGTGATTTCTTCACACCGGCTAATTCTGCTTCATCTTCACCTGGAGGCTGCGTTCCCAGAGTCAGCCCCAAAAGAACAAAGCAAAAGTGTCTGGCATTTTCATGATCTCAGTAGCCACATAGTGTCACAAAGATCTGGGTGGGCTTAGAGCTCAGGGACAGTAGGAGAAGGGTCAACATCTCATTATAAGAACATCACATGGAATATGTTGAGGCCATATTTGAAAAAAAATAATCTGCCCCATAAGGTAAAACCTTTTTAATACTTAGAATTACTTTAAAAATGAAGTATACCAATAAGAACTCCCAATTTCTACTAATACTTTAATTCAAAAATATTCTCTATACCCCTCCTCTGTTAAACTGTGATAGAAAGATCACTAACGATATACTCTGTCTTTAGGTATTTCACAATCAAAATCAAACCAACCAAAAGAAAAAACCTCATCAAGTTAACATTGCAATTTACTTAACAGCATATAAAAAATGCTTCGGGAATGCCTCACACAGTGCCTCATACATAGAAGTTATGTTTTATTTACAAATTTGACCTTCAGCTTGAAAAATAAATGTTTGACCATTCAGTAAATACCATGCAAAAATCTCTATCTGGAGATATTCTAGGAAGTAAAGATAATTAATAAACAGAACAAAAGTATCTACCTAATGGAATTTAGGTTCTAACAAGAGATAAGCAGATACATATATGGTAGAGGATAAGAACAGGAGAAAGACAATGCAGGTATGCGTGATGGAGCCCTGGAGATTGGGAGAGGTGGTAGTTATGTTATAAAGAATAATATCAGCAGGCTTCTGTTCTGTCATATTTGTTAGCCAACTGGATTTATTTCTGTTTTTTCTTAAACTCTGGTGTTTTTTTAAAATGTGATTATGTAATGGCAAATGTAGTTAAATCTTTGAAGATAAATTAAAAATTTTTCCCTATCAAATATGACATTTCATTTGTTATTTCTACTAATATTAAGCAACCAAGTGCTGATGATGATTTAAGAAAATATTTTTTGCTACTTCATTACAAAAATAAACAGGCAAGTAAAATAATATAGAGATTTTGTTTGCAATCTATATATTTTTTATTTAAACTTAGTATTTTTCATCATTCATTATGACATATTTTCTGTTCCTCACAGTTTTTGTGATAAAACTCATTTTGCTTTGTATGAATTAAGCTGATAGGGAGCAAAAAATTTTAATATTTGTAAGGGATTTGATTTCATGACAATTGCAAAAACTAGCATTCTCCTACCATGAGTAAAAGACATAAAACCTTTGTAAATGTACAGTAAAAACTTTGGGGGTTTATTCATACCTCATTCACAAATAGTGAGAATTAAACCATATTGTAAGACTCATGATTTTAAAAGTGTCTTTAAACACTTCATTACTTACATTACAGTTCGTTACCCATTTATGGTCACTGAATTAACACTCTTAAAATTAGCACTCTTTTTTTTTTTGAGACAGAGCCTCAAACTGTTGCCCTGGGTAAAGTACTATGGCATCACAGCTCACAGCAACCCCCAACTCCTGGGCTCAAGCGATTCTCTTGCCTCTGCCTCCCAAGTAGCTGGGACTGCAGGCATCTGCCACAACGCCCAGCTATTTTTTTTTGGTTGTAGCCATCATTGTTGTTTGGTGGGCCCAGGCTGCATTCGAACCCGCCAGCTCAGATGTATGTGGCTGGTACCTTAGCCACTTGAGCCACAGGCGCTGAGCCAAAATTAGCACTCTTAATGTTATAACTTATGACAACATCCTTAGAATCATCTTTTTAGCATGTACAATATACCTATTCATGGAAAGAACACTTGACAACTAGACCTGAAACCTTTGTAATAATTGTGTTTTTTAAAATGTCTTTAAATACTTGATCATGTACATCAGGGGTTCTCAAACTTTTTAAACAGTTTTAAACTAGGAGGCTAGTTCACTGCCCCTCAGACCTTTGGAGGGCCGGACTGCGGGCCCCAGGACGAGTTGGCTGCTAAGCAGGACAGGTAGCAGCAGCAAAAACACCCGGCAGGCTGGATAAATGTCCTGGGCAGGCCGCATGTGGCCCACGGGCTGTAGTTTGAGGATGCCTGATAATACATTTTAGTTTGATACATATATTCACTGAATTAACATTCCCAACTAAAGCATGCAACTGACATTCTTCAGGTCACCTTTTACACGTATCTACAAGTACTTAGCACTATGTTACATCTATTCACTGAAAGAACACTCTGCAAAGGAAGGCCTGTGATTCACATTTTAAGAACCATATTTTTTTAAAGTGTCTTTCAGGACCCCCTTACATTATTTTGTGGCAGTTATTACAGGTTTCATGTTGGTCTACATAGAAAATAAAAAGCTTACACTTTGCCCTAAGCCAATGCTCTTTTACATAGGTGAAGAAAGAAAAATGAATGACAGCTTGGAAGACATGTTTGATCGGACAACGCATGAAGAATATGAATCCTGTTTGGCAGATAATTTCCCCCAGGTAGTAGATGAAGAGGAAGAATCAGCTGCTGCCACCAAAAAACCAAACAGTAAGGCTATTTTCTCTTTAATTATGGCTTGATGAGGTTATGTCAATAAAGTTTTGTATTCCTTGTATAAATTTCTTTTTCAGTTTTTTTTTAACTTTGAGATAATTGTACAGTAATAAAAGAGTTCCAAAAATAGTTCCTTTACCTATTACTTCCCTTTATGTCAACATCTTACATAACCATAAAATATTAGAATTAAGAAGTTAATCTTGGTGTGATGCTATAAATTTCTTGTAATATACACATAAAATTTATAGAAGTTTTGAGAAACTTGTTAATTAATAAATTATTAATTGTAATATGGTAGGAGAGAGTTTCACAGAAAATTCAGATCTATTTTTTGCTGCGAATGCTTTCTCTTTCCAGACAAAATACCTAAGTAACTATATATATCAATCTTAAGACCTGGTTTTTTTTTTATTAAGTCATTTATACATAGATCATGAATACGTTTATGCAATGATGGGATTCAATGTGTCGATTATTTGTACAAATTGGAGTTCTTACATCCTTAAGACCTGTTTCATTAGAAGCAGTAATAGTATAGTAATGTGAGGTAGCAATTAAACACTCTACTTAATTGAAACTGAGTGTAATAATCAGAATTGAAAGTTAGTTAAAATTCATATCTCATTTTCTTACTATGAGTAAAGTCAGAATTTTTAACCTTATCCAGAAGTTGTTTTATACTTTTTTAAACAAACATACTTTCTTCTGTCTTGATAATGCTTTACTTATGCTTCCATGAGGTTTTTAAAATGATAGCTCTTAGCTCAAAGTCAATGAGACCCTAACCAAAGATGAGAACAACAGGCTTTGCTTGCTGAATCCATGGCAAAAACTCCATCAAGTAAATCTTATGACAAAAATTTACAGCTGTACAAGGTACTTCCCCCCCCCCCAAGAAGAACCTTTTGTTTCACATCAAATAAACAAGATTGATGGGAATGTAAATTATTACAGCCATTATGGAAAATAATATGGAAATTCTGTGTTCTCATATTATTTACCACTATAGGGTGACTATAATTAACAATTTATTATATGTTTTCATATAGCTATAAGACTGGGTTTTGAATGTCCTCAACACAATTGATAAATGTTTGAGGTGATAGATATACTAATTAGCATGATTTAATAATTACACATTGTGTATATGTATTAAAATGTTGAGCTCTACCCCATAAAGATGTATATATAATTATGTAGAAATTAAAAACAGTAAAAACAAATTTTTTAATCAATAAGATTGATAAGTGAAATATATTAAAAGCTGTCTTTATTGTTAGTGTTCTTGCCAAATGATACTTTCCAAGATGAGATTTTTAGCTGCCAAGTAATTTAAGGTAGGACAATCAGCACTCTCCTCATTGTGCAGATGGAATTGGAAAGAAAAAAGTAGTTATACAAAATTTAGACTAGTTGCCCAGGGGCCTAGAGTATGAAACCCAATAAAAATGGAAGCTTTGGTACATGTTATTTCTTCCAAATTAGCTCATTGTTCTCCTAATGTTCTACAGTTTATGATGTCCTTGTTTTGTTTATAGCTCATGGTGATAAACAAGATAAAGTCAAGCAGAAAGCATTTGTGGAGCCATATTTTAAAGATAATGAAAGGTAAATTGGTCTTGATTAATGTCAGCAGTTTGACTAGAAGTACACAGAGCTGTCTGCCTTAGAGTATCTTCAAGCTATTAAATTGCTGCTTCATTAGAAAAAAAGTAAATAATTTATTTAAATATTTACTCTAAGGTCATAATAAAAAAGGAACTTGAGTATAAGAATGACAAATTTTACAAATATAGAAATTTTTACCACCACCACCTTTTTAAGTGTTATTATATTTATATATATATATATTTTTTTTTTTTTTTTTTTTTTTTTTTGGTTGCAGCCCTCATTGTTGTTTGGCAGGCCTGGGCTGGATTCGAACACACCACCTTAGGTGTATGTGGCTGGCGCCTTAGCCACTTGAGCCACAGGTGCCAAGCCTTAAGTGTTATTATAAACTCATGGATTTAAAGATACAGTAGAACCTCCCTACATTGACCATCTCTTGAAGTTGACCTAACTGATGGGCATTTACCACATGTTCGTATCAGTACAGTAGGCCTATTTCCTTATGTTGACCACCTCCATATGTTGACCAGTTTGTTACAGTCCCTTAGGTGGTCAGCTTATAGAGGTTCTACCATATTTGATATGTTTTAATCCATTGAAGTTATTATCCTTAGAGATATTTAGATTGTCCCATCTTTGCCTAAAGGAAGCCTCTTTCAATGGACACCCCATAATCATCTTTCACAGCCTCCTAACTTCCAGTGTGATGAGATGTTCTAGGCTCTCTTGTACACTTTATGCCATAGGGCTGGAATCTGCCATGTCTCTGTGAGCTCAAGCTGCTTTTAGTGAGAAGTAATGTTTAGGCTGTAGTCTGGCCTGTGACTAGTCATTGTTTCCAGAACTTTTAGGTGGACAGAGTTAGGAATAAGGTTTTTTGTTTCATTTTGGCTTGTTAAGATAAACTATACTTATACTGATAGGTCAACTCAAATTCAGGACTACAGGATGCTGACATAATCTTCTCTATCTTACTTCTATATCTACTCTTTCCTCCTACTGAAAATCCGACTTCTCAGTGCCAGCCAACATAATTCCTCAATTTACTTTATCCCATAATACATACACAGTGTAATCTCAGAATAATACAATAATATTTCTACTAATGATTAATAAAAATAGCTTAATAAAACTTTTTGTGTTCATCTTGTCTTTAACATGTGTCCTAAAAATGTATAATCAAATCACTGTGTTTTAAAGTCAGTTGAGCTCATTATTTTTTGTGTAGTTACACTACCAACTTAGTACTCAGCTTTGTTTTATTTTGCTTTTGGTTTTTTAAGATTGTTTTTCCTTTCATATTTAATTCTTTTTAAAATTATATAAAATATGTACATTGGTCCAGAGGCCATAGAACCAGGTATTTTCAAATAAATCTTATTCCTATAGGTAAACATTTGTTTAAAATTTATGCTTTTTTTCCATCTTAAAATATAAGAGCGAAAACATATATATATATACACATATATATATACTTTCCCCCTTTAGACAAATGGTAGAATGAGTTAAATACCTTTTTCTACTTTGCTTTTTTTATTTATATATCCTAGAAATCACTCAAATTGTATATAGTATATTCCTCAGTTCTTTTTAAGCTCCATGTTATTGCACTGTGTGACTGTGCCATAGTTTATTCCCTGGCAGTAGACATATGGATTGTTTGTAGTTATGCCTGCCTAGCACACACATAGTGCTACAATGAATAGCCATGTGCATTCTGTTTTCATGTTTTTCCCTATGTATCTTTGGGGTAGATTGCTAAAAGGAGGATTGCAAAGTAAGAGCCGTCTTTTTAAATGTTTTATATTAGAGGTTCACTAACTTTAAGAAATATATATGAGTAGTTTTATTTATTCTGATACCACTAGATAGCTATAGAAAAGGGGGATAGATAAAGATGTAAGAATGGTAAAAGTCACAGACCTAATGTAGTTGCTTTCTCCTCAGAGAATACTTGCAAACTCTGGGAAGATGGATTATGTTAGGTTGGGGACAAGAAGCTTAGTCATCTTTTAGGTGATGCTTTGAGGTCTACTACACATACCAGTCTGCTGGTAGATTCCCTGCTTCATTGTAGTACACTACAGAAATGGATAGATAATATTCAGAGGAAAGGGCATAACTAAAATGTGTAAGCTTAGGATTTCATAAACTGAGAGGGGACATGGTCATGGCAATATTTTTTCGTTTCTTTTCTCATTCTCCCTTTTTTAATTCATAGATTATATCAGAGTTGAGAATTTGCGGGTTGAAACAACAAATGGACCTATAACTTCATATACTTACAGCAATTAAAACTTTTCTTTTGAAAGAAAGTGCTTGCCAGCTAGAGGGATATTTGATCCAAATATGAGCATATCTATTGCACTTTATTTTTTCGCCCTTTGCTTGCAGATAACTGGTTTTTATAAAAGGTTTGTGGCAACTTTCCCTCTAGCAAGTCTGTTAACACCATTTTTTCAATGGCAAACACTCATTTTGAATTTCCTTATCTCTTTTTGGTGATTTTCTTAATATTTCAAATGTCATTATGTCTGTTATGGTGTTCTGTGATCATGATCTTTAATGTTACTATCGTTGTTTTGGGACACCATGAACTATGCTCAGAGTAGGACAGCAAACTTACTTAATATTAGGTTATATTCTGACTGTTCTACCAATTGACCATTCTCCTGTCTATCTCCCTATCCTCAGGCCTTCCTCTTTCGTGAGACACAGCAATATTGCAGTTAGGCCAATTAAGAACCCTACAGTGGCCTCTAAGTGTTCGAAGGAAAGGACAATTCACACACCTCTTACTTTTAATCAAAAGCTAGAAATGATTAAGCTTACTAAGCAAGGCATATGAAAAAGGAGAGGCCTAAAGCTAGACCACTTGTGCCAAACACCCAAATTGTAAAGAAAAAGTTCCTAAAGGAAATTAAAAGTTCTACTCCAATAAACGCAAATGGTAAGAAAGTGAACAGATTAGTTGCTGATACAGAGGAAGTTCTAATAGTCTGGATAGAAGATCAAACCAACCACAACCCCTTTAGCTAAAGCTAATCTGAAGCAAGGCCCTAACTCTCTTGAATTGTGAGGAAGCTGCAGAAGAAAAGCTTGAAAGTAGCAGAGATACCCCAGAAGTGCATTAATGTACATAGTTACCATTCAATTAAAAAAAAAAAAGAAAGAAAGAAAGTAGCAGAGGTTGGTCCATGAGGTTTAAAGAACGAAGCCGACTCTGTAACATAGAGACACAAAGTGAAAGAAGCAAGTGCTGATGTCAAAGCTGCAGCAGCAAGTCATGGAGAAAATGTAGCTGAGATAATTGATGAAGGAGGCTGCACCAAACAGCAGATCTTCAGTGCAAAGGAAAGAGCCTTTTAGGAACAAGATGCCATCTAAGACTCATAACTAGAGAAGAGAAGTCACTGCCCAGCTTCAAAGAACAACCTAACTCTTGTTGGAAGCCAGTGCAGCTGGTGATTTGAAGTTGAGGGCAATGCTCATTTACCATTCTGAAAACTCTAGGGCCTGAGAATGAATGTTAAATCTCCTCTGCCTATGTTTTATAAATAGAACAACAAAGCCTGGACGACAGCGCATCTGTTTACATCGTGGGGTGTTTTGTCTTTTTGAGACAGGGTCCTGCTTGGTTGCCCCTGCTAAAGTGCAGTGGCATCATCATAGCTCATTGCAACCTCAAACTCCTGAGCTGAAGTGATCCTCCTGCTTGTAGTCCGACTAGCTGAGATTGCAGGTGTGTGCCACCCCACCCAGCTAATTTTTCTATTTTTTGTAGACAGAGTCTTCCTCTTGCTTAGGCTGATCTCGAACTCCTGACCTCAAATAATCCTCCTGTGTCAGCCTCTGAGAGTGCTAGGATTATAGGCATGAGCCATGGTGCCTGGCCTATACAAGGTTTACTGAATATTTTTAAGCTCACCATTGAGATTTACTGCTCAGAAAAAAATAGTCATTTCAAAGTGTTATTGCTCATTGACAATGCATCTGGTTACTGAAGATGAAGATGTACAAGATTAATGTTTTCATACCTGCTCATGTATGGATTAAGTAATTTCAACTTGAAGTCTTGCTTTAAACCAAAAAAAGTCTTAAGAAATACATTCTATAAGGCTGTAGCTGCCACAGATAGTGATTTTTCCAATGGATCTGGTCAAAGTAAATTGAAAACTTTCTGGAAAGCATTTGCCATTTTAGATGCCATTAAAAAGAACATTTATGATTCATGAGAGGAGGTGAAAATATGAACATTAACAGGAGTTTAGAAGAAGTTGATTCCAGCCCTAATAGATGACTTTGAAGGGTCCAAGACTTCAGTGTAGCAAGTAATTATAGTTATGGTAGAAATAGCAAGAGAACTAGAAGAACTTGAAGCTGTGACTGAATTGGATCATAAAACTTGAATGGATAAGGAGCTGCTTCTTCTGGATAAGCAAAGAAAGTAGTTTCTTTTTTTTTTTTTTTTTTGAGACGGAGCCTCAAGCTATCCCCCTGGGTAGAGTGCCATGGCATCTTGCTCACAGCAACCTCCAACTCCTGGGCTCAAGCGAGTCTCCTGCCTCTGCCTCCCAAGTAGCTGGGACCACAGGCGCCCGCCACAACACTCGGCTATTTTTTGGTTGCAGCCGTCATTGTTGTTTGGCGGGTCCGGGCTGGGGATTCGAACCCGCCACCTCAGGTGTACGTGGCTGGCGCCTTAGCCGGTTGAGCCACAGGCGCCGAGCCAAGAAAGTAGTTTCTTAAAATGAAAACTACTCCTGGTAAGGATGCTGTGAACATTGTTAAATGACAGCAAAGGATTTAGAATTTTAGGTACACTTAATTGACAAAACAGTGACAGGGTTTAAGAGGATTGATTGTAATTTTGAAGGAAGTTCTACTGTGGGCAAAATACTGTCAAACAGCATTGCATGCTACAGAGAAATCTGTCAGGAAAGGGAGAATCTGCAGCAAACTTTATTGTCTTGTTTTAGGAAATTGCCATAGTCACCTTAACCTTCGGCAGCCACCATCCTATTCAGTCATAGGAGCATCAACATTGAAGCAAGACCGTCCTCCAGCAAAAAGATGACAACTCACTAAACGCTAGGATAATCATTCGAACTTTTTAGCAAGAAAATATTTTTAATTGTTTTTTATGCCATCATATACTTGCAGTATACTGTAAATGTAACTTTTATTTACACTGGGAAACTAAAAGATTCATCTGACTCTCTATTTCTAAATTGGCTGTGTTGTAGTAGTCAGAAACAGAATCTGCATTATCTCTGAGGTGTGTCTGTACTTTAAAGGACTACATGTGTTACCAAGAAGTCATTTATAAAATTGGTTTTTGTGAGTCGGACTGTTTAAGCTCCTGTTTAAGCTCACCATAGATAAAATGTATATGCCGTTACATAGTTCATTTACCTATTTTGTAAGTTTGGTTTTTCTATATTGTGCTTTTTAAAGCAGAATATATTAAATTTTTTAACTTTTGTTTTTGATTATGTTTTCTTCCCAAAGTATTCCATAGTATATTAATCCATACCTCCGTGGCTTTGATCTTTCCTAGGTTTCTAAAGATTTGCAATAGGATCTGATTCATGTAAAGACCACGGCAACCAATAATTATCCCTAATGTTTTGCTGGGTAGAGACAGCAAAAGATAATGTTTCTTTTAGATAAAATGGCAAATGGATACAAATAGATAAATCTGTTCTTTGGGCTGAGTAGGTTAGCTCTGAAATGTAGGTTCTTAGTCCTGGAAAACAGGCAGTAGTCTTTCTCTTGGTTGTACTATACAATAGCAATTTCTGAATTTAATAATAAAGTGTTCAGTTTTAAATAGGTATTATACTATACTGCTTAACCTAATTATTATTTTCAGCCAGACAGAGGCAAAAAAATAGGAAGTAATAGTTATCTTTTGATATAATCCCATTTTTTTTGTTGGTGCTTTTGAGTTCTCATTTATAAACTCTTTTCCTAGACCAATGTCCTGAAATATTTCCCCTATGTCTTCTTCTAGTAGTATTATAGTCTTGGGTCTTACTTTTAGGTCTTTAATCCTTTTTGAGTTGATTTTTATGTAGGGTAAGAGATGGGAGTCTAACTTTATTCTTCTGCATATGGATATCCAGTTTCCCAGGCACCATTTTCTATATTAAGAGATAGTCTTTTCCCCAGTGAATGTTCTTAGCATCTTTGTCAAAAAACAGTTGGCTGTAGATGTGTGGATTAATTTCTGGGTTCTCTGTTCTGTTATCTGTTTTTATGCCAGTACCATGCTATTTGGGTTCCTATAGCTTTGTAATATATTTCAGAGTCTGACAGTGTAATATCTCCAGCTTGGTTCTTTTTGCTCATGATTGCTTTGCTTATTTGTGGTATTTTGTAGTCCATGAGAATTTTAAGATTTTTTTTTATTTCTGTGAAGAATGTTACTGGTATTTTGATAAGGATCACATTGACTCATAGATTACTTTGGGTAGTTATCTTTTAAAATTAGAAAAAATACTGAGAATACTGAGAAAAAATAGTAAGCACTAAAAAATACTTTCTAGTAATATTAGAAAAAATAGTAAGCACTTAATAAGAAATACTTATTTTTCTAACTTAACTAAATAAACATCTCAAGTAAAATGAATGTAAGTTTTAGGATTATTTCTCCTCTACTCTGTCCTCCAAATTAATCTTTGCTAATTTAAATCCTAAACTAAAGACCTTTATAGTAACAAATTAATTTTAAATTTAATTCATTTTTTTTTCCCCAGAGAGACTAGCTTACAAAATTTTCCTCATATTGAAGTGGTTCGGAGAAAAGAAGAGAGAAGAAAATTGCTTGGGCACACATGTAAGGAATGTGAAATTGTGAGTACTAATTTCAATACTGTTTAATTTTTTTTTAAACTATAGCTTTGTAGATCACAAATGCATGATTTAAAAATCACAGATACAAACCACATTTGTTTTAAAAATCTTGTTTGAGCCAGGAATAACAGAAGGAATAAAGAGTATGCTCACAATGTCCTGAGAGAAACAGATGAAAACAAAAGCCCTCGATTTCTCTTAGATTAAGTGAATCTGGAGTGTAAACCCTAGTTCTTATGACTAGTTTAAGACACTCATGCCAATTTTATTTTCTATATTTATTTGCATTAATTTTTCCCCTTATGTTATAGCAAAAGCGCAGTACATATGCTGTTTGGAGAAACCTTCAGTATATCAATAGCAGACTTTATTATAACATTTATTCACTAGCACAGTCAGGAAATTAGATATACTAATAACTGTTTTTTTTAAATAAGGTACCACCTTAAGCTATCTCTTTTTTTTCCTTACACATTTTTCTTTCTACCTACTACAAATACCAAAATCTGAGGACACTCAAGTCCCTGATATAAAATAGCATGATATTTGCATGTAACCTCTGTACATTCTGTCATATAATTTTAAATCATCACTAATATAATGTCAGTGCTATATAAATAGTTATACTATATTGTTTAGGGAATAATGATAAGAGAAAAGATTGTACATGTGTAGAACAGACGCAGTATTTTTTCTTAATATTTTTGATACACAGTTGATTGAATCCATGGATGTGGAACCCACAAATATGAAGGGCCACTGTACTAAATTAGTCTATTGCTAAATAGTCCCAGGCATATTCTGTGTTTTCTTGAAACATTCTGTTTTGTTTTGTTTTCTTCCTATCCATTAGCTGTCAGATGCCTGCCTTCAGCAATTTACTTCCCTTTTGATTTTTATTTATTTATTTTTTAGGGTTTTTTTGAGGCAGAGTCTCACTCTGTGTACTGGCTAGAGTGCTATGGTACCATAGGTCACAGCAACCTCAAACTCTTGTGCTTAAGCAATCCTCTTCCCTCAGCCTCTCAAGTAGCTGGAGCTACAGGTGCCCAGCCAATGCCTGGCTTATTTTTTTCTATTTTTAATAGACAGAATCTTGCTCTTGCTTAGGCTGGTCTTAAACTCCTAAGCTTAAGCAATCCACCCACCTAGGCCTTCCAAAGTGCTAGGATTACAGGTATGAGCCACCATGCACAGCTTACTTCCTTTTTTAAATTTCCTTTTTAACAGCTATGGGCTAAAAAATTTGATAACTAAGCACATTAAAATTACATGTGAGGCTTGGTGCCTGTAGTACAGTGGTTATGGAGCTAGCCAGATAAACCAAGGGTGGCAGTTCAAACCCAGCCCAGGCCAGCTAAACAACAGTGACAGCTGCAACAAAAAATAGGCATTGTGGCAGGTGCCTTTAGTCCCAGCTACTTGAGAGGCTGAGGCAAGAGAATCGCTTGAGCCCAAGAGTTCAAGGTTGCTGTGAGCCATGATGCCACGGCACTCTACCAAGGGCAACATAGTGAAACTCTGTCTCAAAAAAAAATTACATGTGAAAATATAGACAGGTTGCAATGTAGGTAAGCATTTGGTGAAAATACGTTCTCATACACTAACAGAATAAAAATTGGAATTACTATTTTGAAAAGCACTTTGGCAATATAAGCAGAACTCCCATGTCATATGTTTTTTTTTTTTTTTTTTTCGAGACAGAGTCTCATTTTGTCACCCTCGGTAGAGTGCTGTGGTGTCACAGCTCATAGCAACCTGCAGCTCTTGGGCTTAGGCAATTCTCTTGCCTCAGCCTCCCGTGTAGCTGGGACCACAGGTGCCTGCCACAATGCCCAGCTATTGACAGTTTAATAGTATGTAGAAATGCTACTCATTTGTGTACTCTGACTTTGTAACCTGAGATTTCTCTGAATTTATCA